TTTGTTTGTGTATCCATAGTAGCTACTATATTGTATGCATTGTGCGTATATAATTTTAATTCGAAACTTGGCATTTTTTCCTTGTTATGGCTTGAACAAATAGTTTTCAGTTTAGACAATTTAATCAGATGACGCTTTCGCACACTATTAAAATGTGAAACGAGGTCAATGCTAGATAAATCCGGTTCAAAGTGTAGGTGGTCACCACTCCCATATAACTAGAACAAACAATGTCATCCAGTTTGCCACGCTACACGTATGTCGATCATGTTATGATTATGTCACGGAATGGTAATCCGTCTAAAATAGACTGTTTTCTTCACGATCACAACACGGCCTAAATGCAGTAAATATATTTATACATATTTCAACATAATTTATTCTCTTATACGAGCTTACTCACCCCTTGCCAAATGTATCCAATCCAATGTTGTGATGAATTATATCGGAAACATGTAATATATTTATATAAATGAAGATGATGATAAACATACAATACCTTTTTATGAAGATGACGATGTTTGATATGAAATTCAATTACTGGAGGTATGACAACTACTACTCCACTGACAACAACCACTAGTCTCAATAAATATTACCATTTCTCATCTCTGCAAAAGGTGGCGCACTTCTCGACGACTCGACAGCCATGATCGTTTTTAGGACTTTTGCATCAAGTTTTCAACAAATGGCAAGGCAAACCCAATGTACAAGCTGGTTTTGGTTCACGAATCTTCACTGTATACATGTTCTGACAACACTGGAATTTTTATATCACGTTATTGAATCACGACATACGGTTTTTCTTACCATTTAAACAGTACACAGTCACCCGGATAGAGAACTTCATCCTGCTGGCTTTTATTTGATCTCCTCACCATGCATATTTGTAATATTCTTTCAAGTTTGTCACACAATCATTTATAGTATAATTTGTTTGAAATTTTCTAGCACATAGAGGGCGCTACATTACTATCTTCTGCAGGCATGTACATGCCAATACTGGTTATTTGCGTAAATATGTTAGGTTGTGTGATGTAAAACATACTTTCAATATTACCAACGATTGCTGATAACGGCACGTTAACTTGTAAAATACTTGGTTAATGACAAAACAAACGTGTTAATATGACTCGAAGGCCCTCATTTCCCCTACAAAATCACGCCCTTGTTTGAAACTAACAACCACGTAATTGTGTGCATATCCAACACGATTTAATGTGACGACCGTACTGCTGGTTTGTGTATCATCATAGCAATGTACACTGAAAGCATTGCGATGCAATGGGCATTCACTGCTTCTGTTGCTATCAACCGTGCTTGCCTTTTAAGTGTCAAAATACACAAACGTAAAATTCTTGGTTAATCAAAAATAAAAAAAGTACCCTGGAAATTACAGCAAAATCGGCAACATTATTGAGCATCACTGATCAAATTTTGCGGGCCAAGGGGAAAGGCAAGTGTTCAAGCGTCAATGGATCTTTTTAATATCTATTTTCTCGTATTCAGATTTCGCAGTATATGCATATGAACACGTCAGGTGTGAAAAGTGAGCGCACACTACTTCACATATGATATTTACCGTCATTTTACGTCATACGTGGTTTCTGCATGCAACCTGATGTCGAATCAGACAAATATCATTGATACCATCTGTGATCATCAGTTTCATTGTATTTAATTACACCTGCCAAACAACTTTTAATTTTAAGGTCAGACGTTCTCTACAAAATGTTTGCTTTGAAGAAGAAAGTAATGTTTCTTTAAAAAATCCAGCTAATGTACCACATGTCTTGACATATCTAATGAGCTGGAAATATGTAGTTGAGAGTAGGATATTTCTGCAAAGATGTGATATATTGATAATAGTTTCATTGAAATCATCACTCTGGTCATATAGTCTAGTAAAAAGCTGGTACTTCTAGTACTAACGAACAGTTCTGAGTATTAATTAGAAGTGGTAGTGTCAAGATTAACTGGGTAATCAATGTATTTACGATTGTTGGCGGAAAGTAAATTATTAATATATATATTAATGTGAAATTAAAAAAAATGACTTCTTTGTACTAATTTCTGTAAACATTCAAGTTTATGCAAAAAAACAGCCAGCAAGAAAGTGTAACAACTATTTGGAGATGATGATTTAAGTTTTACGCATTCCAGGTTTGAAACGCTGGTAATAATTTATTTCTATTTCTTGGGTGAATTGCAGTTCCTTGTGTTATTGTAGAAAAACAGCCGTGTGCGTTCATGGGTCACGTAATATGACCAGGGCAGCAACCCCGGGACCGGGTAGCGGGATAACCACACCCTACTAGGTCTGTCTATACTAACACAATTGTATCTTGCCCTGGCAGTCAACAAGGTACTGCCAAGAGGGCAAAGAATGGGAACATGTACCCTAAACTGGAATTAGGTGCTTCTATATCATAGCTCCCACTGAACTAGTCAAAACCAGTGAAAACAGAATATATGTCTATGAATGGGTAGCTACTGACTGAACTGTAGGCTTTCTATGGGCTTGCGGAAAGAGCCGTCCTACAGCCTTGTACGTTGCAACTAACAACACATGATGACTCTATGGTGTTCATAACTTCCTCCCTGCATTATGTCAATATGTATTTTTGTGATTATGATTACTCTTGTGTTGTGTAGAAGTGACCTTGATGTTGCCCGTGTTGTGTGGGTGTACAAACCCGGGGCCTTGTTTGAACATTTTGCTTAACTCTAAAGTTTTTAGAGCATAGAGCCTTCCGGTACCCGCTGAACAAACTAAGAATGCGAAATTTTTCTTTTCAAGTCTTCTATTAAGGGTTAAATATTGCGCTAGGTTACAAAATAGTTTGGATTATGGTGTGCTACTCTTCTTCCTTACCTTCTTGATGTGTATAGGTCTTCATATATTTAACCACCAGAATACCAAAATATGTACTTATAAATAAGGCACAGATATATCATATGCATATGATTTATATAATTAAGTTATGAATTACATTAAAAAAAGAAAAAGTTTCACATTTCACGATCCTAACTGAATTGCCAAGAGTTTTTTAGAACCACCCTCGCCATTAATTCTAAACCTGGTTTCCAGAATCCCTCCTCTATTTCAATGGTATAAACACTCTTTTTTGGGTTACTTATAATTACTTAGAGGGGGCATATTGATTTACATTAGGGGCCTGGGGTGTTTGGGTTAAAGTTCAGTGTCGGGGTGATGAATAAATCAAGGAAATACTCGCTGTTATTGGCTGAAAATGAGTATGCGCACTTGATTTACCCAGAACTCTGTGCGAATCACCCTTGATTCTGGCTGTTCACCATTTTCGTTCATGAAATCGTCTGATATCATCAGAAAACGCAGGATTTGTACAGTTTTGAATAAAATCAAGTTAGCGATTATGAACAATGGTTATTAACATAACACCCGATTCCTTTTAAACTTTTTGTTTCGAAATTTATAGTAAGAAATCGAAATTTGAAACCGACAAGGTGTCGATTTACTATGTGCCTTGTTTCACAACTTGTTTATTTATATTCGTATAGCGGATGATTGTTTTTTTAAATTAGTATTTATTAGTATTTTCAGCCCCCAAGTGACTGTGAAGTGACATCAGCCAATCGAGACGAAGTTTCCTGATCCTCGAACACAACGCTAGTGTTCATGACACGTGGTGGAGAACCCAGGTAGTATATACAAACTTGTATAGTATAAATATACTATACAAGTTTGTATATACTACAAAGAATC